GTCCTTCGGTACACCATTCTCCAATTCAGTGATGTCTGGCAGCTGGTAGAGGACAGCTGTCTGATGAATTCTGAAACTTTCTATCTTTGAATGACAGAGGGGGTGGTTGGGAAGAGGAACGGTGGAGAAAACCGATCCTAAGAAACCTCACTTCCTCTTGTTCTTTCTCATCTTCCCCCAGCTGAGTAGAGTTCTCAGTGTTCCAAGTGTCCCCAAGGGCCTGAGACTCTTCACTGCTGATCTGTGTGATTGAGCTCCACCCAAGACGAGACAAAAGGCTGCCTTTGTTTCTTCCTTTTTGTTTTCCTTTTCAGTGTCTTTTACACCCAGGCTTGCCGCAACCATCTTTCTGCCTCTGCCTCCCGGTGTTAGGACTGCAGACATGCACCCCTCCCCAGCTCCGCCTCCCGGTGTTAGGACTCCAGACATGCACCCCTCCCCAGCTCTGCCTCCCGGTGTTAGGACTGCAGACATGCACCCCTCCCCAGCTCCGCCTCCCGGTGTTAGGACTTCAGACATGCACCCCTCCCCAGCTCCGCCTCCCGGTGTTAGGACTACAGACATGCACCCCTCCCCAGCTCCGCCTCCCGGTGTTAGGACTCCAGACATGCACCCTCTCCCCAGCTCTGCTCCCGGTGTTAGGACTGCAGACATGCACCCCTTCCCAGCTCCGCCTCCCGGTGTTAGGACTCCAGGCATGCACCCCTCCCCAGCTCCCAGCTCTTTAATAATCCGAATCCATTTCACTTGCCTTCTGTTCTTAACACCCACTCTCCAAACACCCAACAAAGCTGCTCAGTGTCACATAAGCATCTGTGCTGTATAAGCTGGACCTTCCTGGTGGTAACAAGGACGGTCCTTTCTTAGGCTGTAAGACAACCCCTTATGTTATATCCAAGGTCAGGAACAAAAATGGCAGGTCAGTCACAAACAGTGTTGTGTGTGTATATGCATCTATTCATCCACCCAAAGTGAATAGGATATTTTTGTAACTTTGACATAAAAACAATATTGCATTTCTCTTGCGAATGCTTCATTCCTATAGAATGATATAAAATAGTCAGCTTCATTAAAAAAAACGAGTGGTTGAATTCTAAGTAAGCAATGTGTAGGGCTTATTTAATACATTGGAATCTTAGTAACGGACATGAAATCAACAATTTGCTTCTGTGTTCTGTCACGGCCACATTGCTACTTTCTAGTTTTCTTCCATTTCCTAGTAAGTGTTTTACATATGAAAATAAGTTGCTAACTCTGAGGTTATTATGAAAAAAAAAAATTCTTTGATTTGAAAAAGAGGAACAGATATTTGTATTGTAAAGCATAAATTATACCATGTATATTTATGCAAAAGAGTTAAAACCAAAGAATCTGCTTGCTTATTAAAATGCAAACATTACCTCAGACATACAAATAGCCCCAAACTCGCCCAGTCTGCCTCTGCAGATCACCCACCAGCATTAGATTACCTCATATGACATTATGGAACAATAGTGAACTCTGTAATAGTTGAATATATTGTTTTGAAAGAATAAACTCTCATTAACTTGAATAAAAGCTTTCTGGAATCAAACCTGGGGGGTACAGCCTTCACTGGGTGGCCTTTTTTTTTTTTTTTTTTTTTTTTTTTTTTTATTGCTTTAAGAAATTGCCTCACCCTGAAAGCAAGCAAGGCAGGGAAGGGGATGGCAGTATAAAGGCAACAGTGATGAGTGGCCTGCAACTCCTCCAACAGCCCAGGAGGCAGGGGCCAGAGCTTCAAATCACCAGGCAGAACAATGTCAAAGCAGGAGGCTCTGCAACCAATCTGGCACCTAAAATCCAAACAAGCTCACACACCACACACACACACACACACACACACACACACACACACACACACACACACACACACACACACACGCCATCTCCCTGGGCCAGCTGTGATTTACAAAACAGGTTCTGCTACAATGGGAACAAGTCCCACTCTATGGTCAACATGTCCCGATACCACCTGAAGATGGGCTGGTGATACAACCAGTGATATAAGGCCAGGAATTTAAGGTGAATCCCAAAGTTTTCATCTATAAAGAAAAAAACAAAATAGCTCTCCTGGGGAAGTACTGAGGGGAATTGGACACTTATCATCGTTAGTCTACTCAATTGTCCTGTCTGCCTGTCTTTTCCAATTACTATCCAAGGGATTCCTTATTCACAAATGAAACACAAGCATCTGTAAACACTCACCGCTTTTGTTTGTGCCTGTGGTCTGGGCAAAGCCACACATTGCCATTCTAATCAAGTGACCTCTCTAAATTCCTTAGCCAAATCCAGATACATACTCAGAGTCACCTGCCCCTCACTAGCTTTCCTCTCCTCTATAACTATCTCAATGTAGTTAGATGGTGGCAAAGCCCTGATTATAGCCTAGTTACTAAGGTAATCAAGTCCAGGAGCATCACTCTGCAAGGCACTCACTTATATCCCACTCATCACTCACGTTCAAGGTGGATGACCTTAACTCATGTTAGCTTCCCTTAATACCAAGTCTTCTCCTAGATACTTTCCCTACTAGTCAGTTTATTCTCATGTGAATCATTTCAAATAATTAAACAACTAATCCCAGAAAATTATTAAGTATATCTTAAACTCTGGTTTGCGTTTAGTGTTTCCCTAAGGTGAAAAGGTCAAGAATAAGTCACGAAAGACTAGTGAAGGACTGGAAGACTTTGGGAGTCAGAGGATGGAGAGGACAGGAAGCAGGTGTGTGGAAAGTGACTGTGGACAGTACTCCATGCAGATCCAGGAAGGGTGGAGGGTACACTATCAATATCCAGCTGTTACATTTCTCAAGATTGGGCAAGTCTATGTGAAGGGAGAAATTTCATTAATGTTGGCTTCATTGGAGAATCACGTTACTCCGCAAGATAGGGAAAATGAATGAGAAGATGGGTAAGTAACAAAATACAATATGTTCTCTTATAGAGTAGAGGGCTTATCAAAGTTTCATCTCATGGCCAGTGCAGGGGAGAGTGAAAACGTGAACGGTTTCATTTGTGAAGCAGACGAATTGCTGGGAAGAATACGATATATATAGATCACCTGGATGTGCTATTTGTTTTTGTTAGCTGCATCCCGGAAAGGTGTAACTAATGTAGGACCTGACATTGGTGAAGAAGTCTCAAGCAATCTCTTTCTGCCAGATGTCTGATCTTGCACAAATCACTTAAACAAACTCAATGATGCAAGAATTACAAGAATGGTATGTGTATGGATGTGGGGCCAGGGTACATTTTAATACAAATAGCTACTAAGATGCTTTATTTGAGTCTGTTACACCAGCTTGCTCTTGTCTAGTTGTTTGTCAGATCTAAGGTTCATACTGAAACTTACTCCCCACAAATCATAGGCTAACGGGATTTGGAGGTGGGGCCTTTGGAAAGTAACCAGGAGAGGAGGTGGCCATGAAGGTGGAGCCTATGACTGCATGAATGGCTTTATTTGGAGAGAAAGAGAGATCAAGTTAGCAGCTTGCTCTGCCCTGTGAAGTGTCAGCCTCCTCCGGGTCATGACCCAGCAGGGAGGCTCTCAGCAGATGCCAAGAGGATACCAGAGCCATGGTCTTCATTGTGAAGGGTAAGGTAAATTAACCTCTTTTCTTTATAAATTTCTCAGTCTTTGATATTGTTATCAAAAAAAAGAAGAAGAAGAAGAAAGATTCAGGTTAACTAAGCCACAACCCTTATTTATGCTCATTATTGCTTAGGTTTTATTTGGGGTGTTTTGTGGGGGGTAGAGGCAGGGAATCTGAGTAACTCACATAGCAGAAGCTCCATCCAGTTAATAGAAAATCATTTCCAGGAATAGGGAGATAGTTCAGTCAGTAAAATGCTTCTCATGCAAGCATGAGAACTTGAGTTCCAGCCCCAGAAACAACATAAAAAATGGAAGTAGGAGCACATACTTGTAATCCCGGGCCTAGGTATGTGTAGACAGGCACATCCATGATGCCAGCTGGCCTAGCCTAATTGGCAAGTCCCAAGTCCCAGTGAGAGACCCTGTTTCAAAAAACAAGGTGGATGGCTCCTGAGACCAGCACTGGAGGTTGACCTATGGCTTCCAAACATGTACACACACAACACTCTCACACACCCACACAAAAGATAAAGAAAATAAACTCCACTTAATGGGGAAATACGAAAACAGTAAAGTTATAGTCATCATATAAAGCATCTTGAAATATGCTAATCAGGTAGGTAACCTCTCCTCTCATAAGCATACTTTTCTCTCATGCAAAAAAAAAACAGTTGCCAGAATTAATTACCAGTGCAGCAGTGGTGACAGAACTTTTCTATGAGTCTGAACCAGTCAGGCCATACCACAGTCTAAACCACAAATAATGAAAATCTTTTCATGGAAATATAACGGGGAAGGGCCACCTCCAGTAACACTGATTCATTCATTAATTTACTCGATCCTTATTTTATATCAGGTTCTATCTCGGGTGCTGGACTTCAATAGTGGAAAGAAACAGAAAGTTCCTGTCATCTGGAACTCACATTCTAATAGAAAAATACAGACAGTAAACCAGCTGGGCTGGCAAGATGTCTCAGTGGGTAAAGACACTAAACCTGACTTGATCCCCAGGACCCACATGACAGCAAGAAAGAACACACTCCTCAAAGTTGTCCTTTGACCTCCATATGCAAGCTGTGACATGCACACACACACACACACACACACACACACACACACACACACAAACAGATAAATGTAAAAATGTTTTCTATTTTACAATAGGTCAGAGGTGATTAAGTGCTACAGAACACAAAGAAAAGGCAGGGAAAGAGACTCCAATTTCAGACAGGGCAGTCAAGGAAGACTTTTCAGAGAAGATGCCAATTAGGGAAAGACCTAAGAGAGACAAAAGAGTAAGGCATACAGATATGTGGGGAAAGAGTAGCAGGGCCATATCTAAACCTTCCCGGCAAGTCCAGGTAATACAGGGTATAACCTCTCACCTTTTAAAAGGGGCTGGAAGGTTGGAATCTCTTGCAGCTTGATGACATCAGGATCATTGCTGACATTCCTGGAGGCCTGAGAGCCCTGAGCTACCACCACAATGTCATCCATCTTGGCCCGATGTTTAGCTGGAGATGGGGTCACTGCAAATCAAGTGACACAGATCAGGAAGTGCATGATGGGAAGCCACCATTGCCCACCAACATAGTCACTAGAAAGAGTAGTTCACAGTATACAGAGGTTTTTCTGATCTTAACATACATGCTTCTCGTCAAAGCCATCCTTATTTAAAATGATAAATTACTTCTCCCAAGAGTGGTAATGGCTACTTTTTGTATTTGAGATGTTGAAGTGGATTAAGGCTTAAAAACAAACAATAACAGCTGGGTGGTGGTGGTGCACACCTTTACTCCCAACACTCGTGAGGCAGAGCCAGGCGGATCTCTGTGAAGTCGAGGCCAGCCTAGTCTATAGAGTGAGATCCAGGACAGGCACCAAAACTACACGGAGAAACCTTGTCTCGAAAAACCAAAAAAACAAAAGAACAACAAAAACCTAAAAGTAAATGCTAGTGTGGTGATGAACACCTTTAATCCCAGCACTCCGGAGGCAGAGGCAGGCAGATCTCTTTTGAGCTTATAGCCAGTCTGGTCTGCATAGTGAATCCCAGAATAGCCAGAGTTACATAGTAATACTCTGTCTCAAAATAAATAAATACATAAATAAATAAAACTAAACAACAAAATACTATGGGGAAATGTAATTCAGCTGGACATAGTGGCTCACATCTCCTTCCTTGAGGTAGAGACAGGAAGATTAAAAACTCAAGAACAGGGGCTGAAGATATGGCTCAGTGGTTAAGGACTGCTCTTCCAGAAGACCCTGGTTCAAGTCCCAAGACTCACATGTTGGTTCAAAACTATTTGTAACTCTAGTTCTAGTGGACCTAGTGCCCTCTTATGGCCTCCTCAGACACTATATACATGTGATGCACAGACATGAATGCAGGCAAAACACCTATACACATAATAAAATAATATACAGCATTGGGAGCATAGATCAGCCTAGAGTACATGAAACACCGTCTCCAAGGAAGAAAAAAATGAATATTTCTACGTAGTGGGAGCTGGCATAGGCAGACTATGGGAATTTCTATTTTCTTTCTTTTTTGTGGTGCTAAGGACTGTAACCAGAGTTTCTCGAATACTAGGCAAGGGCCCTACCACTAAGCTATGGCCCTAGCCCAGGACTTCTATTTTCTATTATATATACATTAAAAAACCAAAACTCTCGCACATATAGAAACATATAACATGTATGAAATTCTTGCATAACCAAGCATTTTATTATTATACACACAAAAGCATAGGCAGATTTTTTTTAATATTTCCTATATGTAGATTTTTTTAACATCTCCTTTTTTTTTTTTTTTTTTTTTTTTTTTTTTTTTTTTTTTAAAGATTTATTTATTTATTATGTATACAATGTTCTGTCTGCATGCATCCCTGCAGGCCAGAAGAGGGAGCCAGATCTCATTACAGATGGTTGTGAGCCACCATGTGGTTGCTGGGAATCGAACTCAGGACCTCTGGAAGAACAGCCGGTGTTCTTAGCCTCTGAGCCATCTCTCCAGCCCAACATCTCCTTTTTTTGATTGTCCTGATCTCCTGATATATGTCCATAGTTTACAAATGAAAGAACAAAATTGTCTGGGACTTGTCCAAGGCCAACAGCCCTAGAAACAGAGTTAGGAAAGGCACTGAAGTCTCTGGGTCCTTGGGGACAAGGACTCTTCTTAGTGACACAGAATGCAAAGCTAACCAGGTGTACTGAACAGAGCCAGTTTAGCCAAAACCTCTGGTTTCAAACCCAAATTATAAGTCTATTCCTAAGGCTCAGTGAGCCTTAGTGCAGCATTACCAGGGCAACATTCAGAAAATTGGAAGGGACTTCTGGGGCATGTCAATTTCAGGTTCCTTGGGAGGGAAGAGGTTCAGTCCTCCAGGGATTCCCTAGAACAAGACTTCCCACCCCAATATTTTCCTGGTTAGAACAAGAATGAATCCTTAAAGTGTCTTATACTCAAAGGTTCTAGTAGGCAATTGGTATACTCAGGCTCATCAGTCAGATCTGAGGATACCACGGAAGTACTCCGCCTTCTGGAAACTAGCCTCTCCTGATGCTTGGAGTTTGTCTTGGGGGCGGGGCGGGCACCAGGGTGGGGAGAAGGGGCTGGGAGGGGTGTTCTGTTACTTTTATTGCTTTTCAGGAACAGTTTATCCCGGCTTGGTAATTCATCTAACATTTTACAAAAGCAGTACCAAAACATCTTTCCTGTTATAAATTACATGATTCCTCCTTTCCCCAGACTCCAAAGGAAAGGGGACTTCAAAGCATTCTAGTCCACCTCTATTATTTTATGCATAAAATGGATAAAGATGTGTGTAAAAATGGGGCTACTATAAATACTACACATAAACATGTGTAAAGCAAATTCTATCAGAAATAAGCCTATGCTGTTGGTTCCTGGATGAGCAACTGTGTTAAAGGACGCCAAGCTCTGTCCCCTGAACTATGCTTTTGGCGGGGCATAGAGGCAAGAAAGTCAGAGATGGCCATTACAGCGGTTTTGTTATCTACAGACATGACACTCTGGGTCTTCCAAGGAAACGCAACACAGCAAAGCTAGTAGATGCAAGTTCCCAGACAGAGGGTCTTGAGGGAACGGTCTGGAGGAATGCCTTCAGCTTGAATCATCCCCTACATCTGTTAGCTTCCACATTTCTGAGTGGCAAATGTTACCAAGTAGAGAGCCATTCTGAAGACTCTTTAGGTCAGAGGTCTTAACTAACGAGGCCCTGAGCTTATCCAGTCTAGTGCAGTTTCAGAGGTTAACTAAGTGGGAAACAAAGAAAAAAAAAGGACCAAATGGTTTTCAATTACCACTGTTTTATTGAGCACTCACTACAGGTCTAGCACAATACTCTTCCAATTTCTACCTCAAACGCTTAGAGATCTAAAAAATGTGGACCACAGAAGATACGCCAGACCCTGCCTGCCATCTGACCAACTTATTAAAAACACTAACAAACAAAAAAACCACAGACCCGACACCTGAGTGGAAAAAGCAGTTTCTGGAAACATTTGCACCCAAACATTGAAGGTGACCGCCCAGCGCTCACAGGTCCCTTCTAAAAAGGAACCTCGACGCCCCGTTTTTGCAGGAAGCCCGATCTTAGAGGTTCTGAGTATTATCCATCCACAGTGAGCCAAATCTCGGGCGTCAGTGCCGAGTCCTGGAACCGAGCGTTCACGAGGTCGTCTTTTAAAGATCAGAGCGAAGCCGAGCGTGCGGGTTTAGGGGACCCGGGCTGGGGGGGAGGCCACGCCTTCTCTGTGGTACGGCACCCGGTGGGCCCACCACGCGGGGCCGCCCGCTCCGCAAGCAGCGCCCGGGCGGGAGGTGAGGCACCGACCTGAGGCGTTCAGATCGCCGGGGCGGCTCTCGGCCTCCGCGCTCTGCTCGCTGCCCATGGCGCCGGCAGCGGAGGGACGGCGGGGTAGGGGCCGGGGAGAGCGGGGAGGCCCCTCGGGGCCACAGGCACGCCGCTCGCCTTCCCGAGGGGCGCGCTGACAGGAGGCTCGGGACGCCAGCGGGGCCACCGCTGTGACCGGCGGGCGGCGCTGCTGTCATTCACTGGCTCAGACGCCGAAACTCGCTGCTTCCGGGACGCCGATTGGCGGCACCGGCTACGCGTAGCCGTCAGTTCCGGGTTCGGAGGTCCCGCCCCCAAATCCGAGGGGCGGGGCGGGGAGACGCGCGCTGGAGGTTGGGGCGGCTCTGTCTTAAAGGGCCAGGACTCCTGAAGGCCAAAGGTGTCCAGAGGGTAACTCCCTTTTCTACCGAAGACACGTCACCTTTAAGAACCAAGGTTAAGCACTGTGATCCTGATGATTTTCGAACAACTTTGCAAAATGGACTGGGTTTTTATTTTTGAGATAGGACCTCACACTGTATGTATCCCTGGTAGCGATCCCCCTGACTCAACCTGGGATTATAGAGGTGAGCCACCACGCCCGGCAAAATAGGAATTTTTACCCGTTTTACCAATGTAGAATAAAGGTGGTCTGTAGACCTCAAATTTCAATCCACACTAATACAGAAGCAAAGCTCTTTTCTAAACTTTGAAAACGGGGTTTAGCAGTGGGCGACCATACAGAAAATGCCAAGACACTGTAAAGAAAGGAGCTAGAAATGAGAGAGAAACTGTTAGTGCATGCTGCTTTGCGTCTCTTGAACGGGAAGTGCACCCAGGCACTTTCTGAGGCTCTTGATGGTTATTGACAGGTCACTATGGAACTACCAATGGCCAGGAAGATGTACAGATAATACAAAAGAGAAACTGCTTGCCTGAGCAAACCAAATATACAGGTAGTAACCCAACGCCTTCGGGGCGGGGGGGGGGGGGGGTCCCTCAACTGCTTCAACAAAGTACAAGCACCTGTCTCTATGATATATGCCTGTGTTGCTAAAATTCCTTCCCTAGGGGGAATATAAATACATCTACACCCTCCTACAGTCCCAACTACCACCAAAGTACATTCTGAGGAACCAATAAGTTTATTAGGCTTGTTTACAGAACAGTGGGTGAGGCGGAACCATGGATGACTTAAAAGCGGCTTCCCTGGAAGCTCAGCACCCAATATGGGGATCACTCACCCAACCCTTAGTGTGTAAACAGAGCCTCCACCCTTCACTCTCCACCTATAGGCTCCAGTCCCCCCCCCCCCAGGTAGTCCTCCACCCCCAAGGCCACCTGCAATAAAGGCAGAATTGCATACTACCGGTTGGGCTGAGTGGCTCAGTCCTCAGAGTGAGGGTTCCCTGATCCTCCTCACCCCCTCTTCTTCTCTCTCCTCTTCCTCTTCTTCTCTCTCTCCTCTTCCTTTTCTTCTTCTCTCTCCTCTTCCTCTTCTTCTCTCTCTCCTCTTCCTTTTCTTCTTCTCTCTCCTCTTCCTTTTCTCCTTCTTCCTCCTCTTCCTCTTCTTGTTCCTCCTCCTTCTTGACTTTATTTGGAGCCGGGAATAGGGACAAGTGGGTTGAAGTACCAGTGGACACCAGAAGAGGGCACCAGAGCTCTGGGAACTAGAGGTACAGCCAGTTGTTAGCTACCGGGATATGAGTGCTGAGAACTGAATTCAGGCCTTCTTCAAGAGCAGTACACAATTGTAACTGCTGAGCCATCTCTCCGGTCTTTGAAGTATACACTTTAAATGGGTGGGTGTAATGTAATATGGAATTTAGTATGCCCTCATTTGCTGACTCAGCGTTAACTGGAAACCTGTCAGGTGCTAGGCACATGTTAGAGGTAAGAAGAAACGATTCAGCAAGACGTAGCCCTCATCCTTAAGAAACCTACAGTTCATTGACAAGAAAATGTAATGAGTGTTTGTACTGTAAGTTTTCTGCATTTGTGATTGGTGACTCTTATCATAGCAGCAATCTCTGTTACATATATCACTTTCATATATATGAGTCATATCACATCTTATGAAAAAAAACTTTTCTTTTCTGTGGTTTTTGTTGTTGATGTTTGAGACAGGGTTGCTCTGTAGCCCAGGCTCGCCTTAAACTCACAGAATTTTCTTACCTCAACCTTTCAAGTCCTGGATTATAGGGCTGTCCCATCATTCCTATCTTAGAAACAACTCTCTTGATTTTTCCAGTGAAGTGTTTTTATTCTTGATCACACAGAGGTGTGATACACCCAAGACTGAAGTTTTCTTATTTTCTTCGTGCTGATGCCTCCTCCAGGCTGCCTCTTCCTCCTTATATTACCCAACACATCCATCCACCCAGTCTCCCATCCAAAAATCCACTTGCCTCACCAGTGCATCTAACTAGTTGCTAAGTCCCGGAGAGCTTGTCTCTTTAATTTCTCCTTTGTTTCCATGCCCAGTTCAAATCATTTCTTAGAAGTCAGAAGGCCTCTGACCTCACTTTTTTCAATCCATTCTCCATGTAGCAAGAAGAGAGAAAACTAATATATTCTGACTAATATTTGTTTTTTCCTTAATGTACAGGCAACTTACGGGCCAGATAGTCTGATCCCTGAGTGGTCTGTTTCCTCTCTCTGGATTACTCAGTTTTTTGTTTTGCTTTGTTTTTTTTTTTTGGGGGGGGGGTTGGTTTTTTTGTTTGTTTTGGTTTTGGTTTTTGGTTTTTGGTTTTGTTTTTTGTTTTTCAAGACAGGGTTTCTCCATGTAGTTTTGGAGCCTATCCTGGATCTCCCTCTGTAGACCAGGCTGGCCTCGAACTCACAGAGATCCGCCTGGCTCTGCCTCCCGAGTGCTGGGATTAAAGGCGTGCGCCACCACCGCCCGGCTATTACTCAATTTTTTGTTCCTCCTCTTCCTCCTTATCTAGCTAGCTGAGCTTCTCCTGTTTGGATCTAACTTATATGGCTCTTCTTGGAAGACCATCCTCTGAGATTCCTTAGTTAACATCTTCTATCATACTATCTGTGTGTCCACAGTCATTGATATATCTATCTTGCTCACAGAACTTGCAGCATCTTGAGGTCAGACCCCCTGTCTTATTGATTTTTCTCTTGAGGTACATAACAGATATTTTTCTAATAAGACGCTTATTTTTTTTTTAAGTGCCTCCGTGTAGATGAGAGTCCTAACTCTTAGGGAAGAGGATCAAAAATCCCTTCAGGTGCTAGACCCAGTGAGATACACTTGTGATGCCGTGGGGATCAGAGGGAGCCCTGAGTGAATGTGCAAGGGGCAGATGAAGCCCTGAGTTAATGTGTTGTTGACATGAGCACACCATGTCAAGGATCCCAGTGCCTCAGACCCACGGGAGTAGCAAAGCCTTCGAGATGAGCCTCCAAGGGATGACAAAGGCTTTCTCTGGTCCAAGTTCGAATGCTGTGTATATAGAAACTATCAACCCCAGGTTCCTCCCTCAGGATGGCTGCAGCCTGGAACTGCTCCCTACAGAGCCTTTCTACCAATATAAGCTAAGTCTGCCTCCTTATTCAGCTGTATGCACAGCCCTCCCTCCTCAATCCAGAGCACTTACTCTCTGGGTTCTGTTGCTGTTGTGGTCCTCCACTAGAGCAAGCTCAGCCTACTGGATCCCAGCTTTTCTATACATGTGTCTGTGTGTCTGTCCTACCTTCATTCTCTCATCATCCCAATTGGGTTTGGAGGACCCAGCAGGGCAGAGTGTAATATTATCCCAGCACTCAGGAAACTGAGGAAGAAAGGTCTTGAGTTCAAGGCTAGACTAGGCTGCATTAAGAAGACCCCATTTCAAAAACATAACAAAACCTCACTGTGCAATGAGGTAGCAATGGATTTGGTTTCTATTTAAACATCTGTTTCATATCAACAGAATTGTGAAATGTTTATTTTATACTTTTCACTATTCTGTGATTTGAAAGTAGAACCTTGTACATGCTAGGAACGTGCTCTACCACTGAGCTATATAGCCGGTTCTTAATTTTTTTACCTGATGGAGAGATTATTCAGTGATTAAGAGCACTTGCTATTCTTGTAGAGGACCTGGGTCTGGTTCCCAGCACCTATAAGGTGGCTCATAACTGCTATAATTCCAGTTCCAGGGGATTTAATACCTTTCTTGGTCCTTCCAGGGTACTGGGCATGCTCACACAACATTCAGGTCAACATTCATATACATAAAATTAAAAAAAATTTTTTTGAGACAGGGTCTCATTATATATCTCTGGCTATCCCGGAACTCCCTCTGTAGACCAGGCTGGCCTCAAACTCTCAGAGATCTGCCTGCTTCTACTTCCTGAGTGCTGGGATCAGAGGTGCGTGCCGCCATGCCCTGCAAAAATAAATCTTCCAAAAAGTGTTTAATAGGCAGTTGTTAGCTGCCTGCTGTGCGTGCGGCAAACCAAATTTGAGTCCTCTGGAAGAGCAGTATGAACTCTTAGCCACACAACCACTTTTCAAGCTCTTGATATTTTTATTTTGTATTTTGAAACAGGGCCTCACTAAATGGCCTGCTAGCTGTACCATCACTCTGTAGCCCGGACAGACATTAAACTTGTGATCCTGCTGTCTAATCTTTAGCTGGGATTACAAACCTGTGCCTCCGGTCCAGCTCCCGGAAGTTTTGTTTAGTCATTATTTTCGTCAGTGACCTTGGTTCCCTGCTGTAATTGAGACGTACAACACACGCACTGTCGCAGAACACTAAAGCCGACGCTTCTTTGTCATTTGAGACAGGGCCTCCTGAAGTCCTGGCTATGCAACCACGATGGCCTGATCTTCCTGCTTTCCCATCTTGAGTTTGGGGCTTATGAGGCAGGTGTGGAGACACCCTGTAACCTGAAATTTCTAATGGTGGGGAGCTACCTGGTTCCACCCCCAACCATATCATCTACAGAGATGGGATATGTGTAGACGGAATCTTGTTGCAGC